TATTTAATGACCCAAATAACCACCGCCTAGAGGCCTTCATTTTTGTATTATCAACTCTTTTCTTTATTACTATTTTCTATTCCAACCTCAGTAAATGGTTAAACCATTGATTTCGACCTTGCACATCGTGATTCACCATTATCACCATTCTGCAACTCTTCAAGCACCTCATCGGAGCTCGCTCGGAGTATTAGCTTACAATCCTAGATTCAATCTAGATATCGTCTCCTCTAAACTAATAAATCATCAATTCACCACCATTAGAGACATGGGCCATTGCAGGCAAAGGAAGTGACCTTATATGGGTCCAATGCTTACCATGCAATACGTGTTACCCTCAAAACCTACCCATCTTTAATTAGAGTAAGTGATTCGGGCGAGCCAAGTTTATTCAGCTTAAGTTCAATTCGAGTTGGGTTTATTCGAATCGAGTTTAAAGTATTCTACCTTCTATAAAAAACTCATATAACTAAGTTTGATCCTTACACTTTATGGCTTCAAGCTTATTCGGGTCAGCACGAATATCTAAAACTTTTCAAATATTTTTTCTATATTTTTTGAACCACATTTAATTTTTAAGTAACTTTGTTGAGCATAAAATAATATTTTGAATTTAAAAGAATAAAATAAAAAGTAATAACTTATCAACTTTGTATTTAAGTAACTCTGTTATTTTTTTTTAGCAAAAACTATTTTATTGTATTATGTGTAGTTTATTCATAAATATTTCATTTACTTGTAAATTAATATCTTAGTTATTTAAACATTGCTCTTATCATGGTCATGTATAAATATTTTATGTATTTTAATTAAATTAAATTATTTTAATTATAATTAAGTTAATCTCAATTCAATCATAGTTAGACCACTAACTTAAAATCATTATTGTCCTAATTAGTTTAAAATTTTCAATAACTTTTGGGTAAACTATACTTTTCATTTTTAAAAATATGAAAAATATAGTCATCATTATATTATATAAAATAAAATCATTAAATTATGAGTAAAATACTATTTTTTTGGAATTGTTTTTTATTTAACTTTTTATATAGTTTAATCCCTACAAGGGGTATTTAATCTAATTTATTTTTAATTTTTAATCAAGTCTAATGTGGACATAACTAAATAATTATCCAAGGATGTTGTTATATATATTATGTTTATCTAGTAATAGAGCCAAGAATTTGTACATGCTCAAATTTTATTTTTAAAGTATTTTAACTTTAATTTTTACTTTAAAATTAATTATCTTATTTTATAAAAAAATAAAAAATATATTTTTTAGATACTCAAATGATATATAAGATTCAAAACTTTAAAAAAAATAAGTGGGTCTTAAAATATAAAAATTAATATTAAAATATATTTTAAATATTATGTTAAGATATTTTATTGATTAAAAATAATTAAAATATGAAAATATGAATATTTTTAATTTTTTTAAAAAATAACTGTAATAATGAACTCAAATATATGGTATTTTTATAAAATGACATAAAACTTAAACAATTAATTAATATTTAGGAAAAATATAATCTTTGGTTCCTATAGTTTCATCTAGTTTTGCTTTTAATTCTTGAAGTTTTTTTCAGTATTTTCAATCTCTATAAGGACTAAAATCATTGAAAAAGTAGAAACTATAAAGACCTAGAAAATAAAGATCACCTAATCTTTCTGAAATTATAGAGATTGAAAACACAAGAAAAAAATTACAAGGACTAAAAACAAAACTCAATGAAACTATAAGGACCAAATATTATATTTTTTCCTAACAGTTATTATATTTTATAAATAAGCCCGAATATTAAAAAATATTATTTTTTGAGGCCTTAGTCTTAAATTTTTTGGATGGGCTCGGGCTGGCCTATCAAGCTTAATTCAAATTATCGGCTCTATCCTTAATTCTCACAACTCTTATGTGTATCAGATGGACTCGCACGTTCTTGGGCATACGTTGTTGGGTTCCTTAATTACTTCTCGAATCCTCGAATTGTTTGGTCCTAACTTCTCAAACTCCGCCGGTAAAAAATTGGTTGAAGAAGCCAATATAGCTGGATCAAATGAGGCTGTGTCCACCCCGTTGGAAACTGACCTGGGGAAATTACATGCTCGATCACTTTTGAAGGTACTTAATTATTAGCAAGTACAACTGTTAGTTCCCATATTTTTGACGTTTTTTTTGTATTAATTAGTTTTTATGCTTTTTTCATTACTTCTAATTCTTTAAAGTTTCATCCATCTACAATACTAGTTTTTACACTTTTAAATATGGTCATACTTCTTCTGTATTAGTTTTTATACTTTTTTCATTACTTTTAATTTTTTAAAGTTTCATTCGTCTTTAATGTTAGTTCTTGCAATTTTAAATATGGTCATACAAACTTAATGATGGTTGGCGTGTACATAAACGCTATTAAGTTTTGTTGTGCTAACAGGTTAAAATTTTATGAGTTCGGGGGAAAAAAAAATCACAAGCGGTAAATAAAACAAAAGGGGATGAATCAAAATTATGATAATGTGGGAACAGATGTTTTCTGTGAGAATATTAGACATAATATCTTTTTTTAGTTATTTGCAATGGCTTTGCAGTTTTTTTAGTGAGAATTATGCAAATTAACTAATTAATCAATTAGAAAAATCAAATAATGTCATCTAATTAAATACGTATCCTTATTTGACGAAAAATATCAAATACATGTCTTTAAGAAAACTTTCTGGGACACATGCATTCTCTTGAATTTTCCTTATCTTTCACCTTTTTCATTAGTCTTGACTCTTAAGTCAACAGAAAATTTTAAAAGAGAAGGCAACCCTAGGTTGGAATTTTCACTCAGGCCATTCAACAATTGGGGTTCCGGGACCAGTAATGTGTGGAACGACTCGCAATCGTGAATGCTCAATTTGCATGCAAACAAAGTGAAATAATTTTAAATGTAAAATGACACTACAAAGATTCCCATTTTTATAGGACATTGTTTGGCCTCATTATGATATTGAACACTCGTTTGCCATCTAAGAACTTTATTTTAGAGGAAAAAAAATGGAGCCTAGGGGTTTGAGAGGCAGGAAAAAAATAAATTAATTTTTGGGAATTTTCATATATAATTAATTAAGAAATATGTCTATGTTTAAAAAATCAATTTATAAATACTTCTTAATCACGATCATCATATTTTTGAATGAAGTTAGTTTCATTTTAAAAATAATCATTAAAGTGTTAAATCAAGAGTGACAAGTCATGATGATTTCCATGCAACATCATAGATTTCTCTAATTTTATTTATAAGTCACTTCTAATATATTTTGTTAGAATGATCAAGAAAAATTTTAAAATATATTAGTTTTATCTAAAAAATTGAATAAGTCTTCAAACTTTACTTTTATTAAATATACATACTTTAATATAATATATTTTAATATAAAAGAAAATATTTATAATAAAAATTTAGTCATATGACTTATAAATAGAATAAAAAAAGCATTTTCTCTGCATTATAAATAAGACCAAGGAGAGCATCCATCACATTTACGAGAAAAGTAATTTGGATCCATACAGATTGCTTTAGAGATGTCTCAGATAGTTACAGGTCAAGAAATCAAAATCATCTGATGGGCTTGTTTTGCGAATCTTTGAGGATGATGTCAACGTAACTCTCTCCCCGTAAGTATTCTAGTAATTATAATATATTATTAATCACTAATGGGAGGGTGAAATCCTCTTCACGTAGTCATGTGTTAATTACCGATACAAGATGAAGTCATAAGTGAAACAAATTTGATAGCTCTTAATCAAGGCTGTTATTTTCTTGTGAATCCATTTAAAAACCTTGTGAATCCATTTAGGCACGATAAATGTATAAATTTAAACTGACATATAGTACTGTACATTAGGTAGTTACGTTGCAGCGAAAAATTCAAAATGTTATTTTCTTGTGGCTGGTTATTTTTTCACAAATTATTTTCATCCTTTTGGGATTTTTTTTTTGGTAAGGTATATACCTCAAAAAACAAAGATGGTTTTAAATGGATGTTGGATGCGCAACATTCATGTATCTATCATATCTATCCCTAGCTTTTTCATTGCTATATGCTTCTTTCCTTTTCTCTTGTTTCGTTAAACAAGATGGATGGGAAGGGAGGAAATCCCCTACTAACCCTTCCCTATAAATCCTTCCATTATTCCCCTCCACTAGCAATATTCAACCAAACAGGCTTTAAAAGTCATCCACAATCTAAGTAGATAAGTTTTTCTTCTTTTAGAATAAAGATACATTTTTGCCTTTAAAGTATTTTCCATGAAGCACCTAGTACTCTAAACTATATATTAGTAGGAGTAATTTTACCCTTAAAGTAATTAAAACGGAACACTTTTATACTCACCATCAAATTCCCAAAGTTGAGCATTAAAAAATGTGAGCCGGAATTCTAATGTTGAGCATTGGAGAGTTTAACAGCAAAAGTAAAACCTAAAACTGCTACGTTTTAAATACTTTAAGAGTAAAATTGCTCCGGTCAATCACTTAAAGTATGGGTGTTCTTCAAAGAATACTTCAAGAATAAATATACTGTTACCATTTTTTAATTATTTGTAATACTAATTGTGATCTTTTACTTATAGCTAAAACTATAATATACACCTTGTAACTATATTATAGCGAGATATTTAAATTTTATTTTTTAAGAAATACAGAAATTGAAGATAAATAATAAAGTGAAAAATGATAATATTTCTACTCTACCAATGGGCACCCCTCCATATATATATTTTCGATAACGTGGCCTTTCACAGAAGCTGTAGCCCTAATTATTTTCTGGTGGAAGTAGCTCTGAACTTTTATGAGAAAGAAAATATAGCAAAATATAAGTACAACATTTGACTGGTAGTATAGTGGTCAACCAAAAGCTACGCAAACCTCCCTATAAATAAAACCACCTCAAGCTCCTCCTTCACTCATCTCTATTCCTACTTGTCCACTGTGTTCTCCTACCTTCCTTCAACCATGCAAGCTCTTTCACTCTGCTTGCCTCTCCTTTTCCTTCTTTCAACTTCTTCGATCGGTTCTGCCACTAAAGGTTTCAGCATCGACCTCATTCATCGCGACTCACCATTATCACCCTTCTACAACTCCTCCATGACCCACTCAGATCGCGTTCAAAATGCTGCATTGCGCTCCATATCTCGAGCTAATCGCTTTCGCCAGTCTTCTGTGGCTGAAACAAGTGAGTTAGTAGAAACTGATATAATCCCAAATGGAGGAGACTACCTCATGAAGATCTTCGTTGGTACTCCACCTGTAGAGAGATTGGCAGAGGCAGACACAGGAAGCGACCTTATTTGGTTCCAATGCTCACCTTGTCCCCGGTGCTACACTCAAAATGCAACGCTATTTGATCCAAAAAATTCTTCCACTTATATGTCTCTGTCATGTAGCTCAGACCCTTGTAAAGTTCTGCCACAATACACTGTGCAAGGCCAAATGTATCCTAAATGTGGAACATCGAATGAGTGTACGTATGTTTATTTTTATGGGGATAATTCATACACAATGGGAGAACTGGGCACAGAATCAGTTAGTTTTGGAACAAGTGATGGCAGCCAAGCTGTTTCGTTTCCTAAGACGGTGTTTGGATGTGGACACAACAACAATGGAACTTTTAACGAGTACGTCGCAGGGCTTGTTGGGCTTGGTCAGGGGTTTTGTCGTTAGTTTCGCAAATGGGTAACGTAGGTCGCAAATTCTCGTACTGTCTGCCTCCTAATTTCAGTGGAAATACCACAAGTAAACTAAGATTTGGGGAAAAGGCCACCATATCAGGAAATGGGTTGTCATCCACTCCCTTGATCACCAAAACCTGGTTCCTCGTTTTACTTCCTCAACCTTGAAGGTATTTTATTTTACTAAGATTGTTCACTTGTTTCATTTACAAGTTTAAATGATATATACGTGTATGATTAAATGATGTAGTGACATTATAAATGGCTCTTCATTTCATTCTTGTCTACAGGTATCACCGTTGGTCAACAAAAAGTGCTGCTGACAGGTCAAAGCGACGGAAACATAGTCATTGATTCTGGGACGACATTGACAATGCTTCCATCAAGCTTTTATGACCAGGTTGAAGCTTTGGTGAAGCAAGCCATTGGATCCGACCAATTCATAGAACAAATCAATCCGTTCAAATTGTGTTACACAAATGCTAACTCCATCAAGAATTTCCCAAATTTTGAGGTTCATTTTACGGGATCCAACCTTTCCTTAAAACCTCAGAACTTTTTCCTTTTCGGCGACGATATTATGTGCTTTGCCATTCTTCCCACTGATTCAAATGGAATGTCCATTTATGGAAACGTGGCCCAGGTTGATTTTGAAGTCGAGTATGATCTTGGTAAGAAAAAAGTTTCTTTCGCTCCTGCTGGCTGTGCTAATAAATAGTAAAGATTTGCTGAAGAGTACGTGAAATGTAGTCATATATTTAATGAATAACGTACTTTGGCTGGTGTAGCTCAAGTGCTTGTAAACCCTACAGTTTTACACAGCCTCGCACACATGCACATGTACACCGTTATTATGTATGTTTCGGCTTTTGGAATTATCAGAACGTATGTTTGTTTATGAATAAGCTTTTTTAAATATAAATTAATACTTCATAAAAAAACAACGATATATGTTAAATGACAACTAGTAGAATAGCTAATACTCGTACTTCACATGTTTTAATTAATGCGAATTAGCTGTGAAGTTAATTACATGTTGGTATTCAAGATATTTTATCTCATCGGTTATCTTTTTAACTACAAGAATAATCCTAATCCCAAAATGTCTAGATTTACAATGAAAGTAGGATTTTGCTAAGATAAATACTCCATCCAGATCATAACATAAGATATCAATAACTATATCATGGATATAAAAAAAAAAGTTAAGTAAAACTTTAATCTCTTAAAAATTTTATATATATCTTTTCAATTATACTATCATTAAATACGTGTTATAAGTGTCTTAATAATAATTCCAATATTACATCATTTTTTTCAAAAGATCAGAGTAATAAATTAAATGAAGAAAGGATATAGTTATAAAAACTATGATAAAAATTACATAATGCCTTATCTTTGGACAAAGCAAAGCTTATAGAATAATACCCCATATTGTGGTTCAGAGGGAGTAGAATTAAATAAAAAGTCCGACTCCCAATTTCCAAGTGATCCAATATATATACCTCTTCTATGTAAACTTAAATAAAACCTTGATTTTTATTACACTTTTCCCTGTCTATTGTACGTTTTTTTTTTTTTATCTATACTTGAGGATGGTCAAATATATTAAATTACAATAATATTCAATGTATTCAAAATTTAATTATTAAATTTAGGGTATTGATATATATGGTCTAATGTTAGATCTTGGGGCCTTTAACATCATGTATCATTTTCGGTATTATATGTTTGCAGTTTGGAGATTTCGAACTTACGCCACTAAGTACGTAACACTATTATTCACCTCAAACTTTGATATGTGAGACTTGATGCGCGCATACAGTCTAGTAAGTTATAACTATTACTCCCTGCTAAAAAATATAAGACATTTTTAATTTATATTTTTAACTAAATCTCACTCCTAATAAATCAGTTAATTGTTTTCAAATTAATACCATATTTTTTATTTACCTTTATTTAATAGGATGTTTCAGTTAAAAATAAATAAAAGTCATTTATTTATTAAGAGAATTTTTGAAAAAAAATAAATTAATTACACCTTGTAGCACTAAAAATGATTTTTATTTTTTAACATTTAATTCTTTAAAAAATATCTTATATTTTTTAATGGAAGGAGTAGTTGTTATCATTTGTCTTGAGTCAAGGATATAACACCATTGACTTGAAATTAAGCAATGGAACGGCTCGCAATAAACAAGAGTCAAGTTGCAGAGATACAAATGATAATAAAGTAACAGAGAAAATTCGAAAATGGATTGAAATGAAAATGACATATAAATTTTTTTTTTATTTTTATAGGATTGAAATGAAAAATTACCCAGCATTCATAATTGAATCCAAAATGACTTTTTCAAGCCGACAAAACAAATAATTTTAAAAAAAATATACCAAAAAATAATTAAAAAGAAAATTATATTTACTATAAATATTTCATTAAATTTTTTTGAAAGAAATAAATTATAAAGTTTTTCCATTTTCTTATGATAAAAAAAACTAAGACAATTCAATCACGTACACTATCTTCAAATGTGAGACTTTATTACTGTTTCGATGTGGACACATAACAAATAACAATAGTGGGATATTCGCGAGCACGAGTTCAGGACTAGTGGGGCTAGCTAGCGGCTGGACCTTTGTCTTTAGTTTCACAGCTGGGTGCTGAGATTGGCCACAAGCCATCATATCTGATATATATGATAAACTTCACACTTTTAGCTAAAGATATATTTGTATTGGTAATTTTGTTCACGTTTCAGGCTATCAACAAAATCTCTCATTATTTTGATCACTTAAAAATATACTATATATATAATGATAAGATGTGGATAGATAATGTGATTGTAGCAAGCTACAAAAGAAACATATTATCATGTGATAAATAATTCACTTAGGATGTGTGTTTGTGGCGTTATAATTGAACTTGCAAGGGTTGGTAGAGACGTAGAGTTATACAATTAATTATTGTTACTTGGATATTAGTATTCAAAAACATATATATACGTATACCTCACTCTCTTGTACTCTCTTTCTGAACATATGACTATATAATTAGATAGAGGCTTCAATCTGCACCAAAAGGGTCTGCATTTTGATGATTTAGAGACTAACCACCAGACACTTGGTTCAACTGGTAGGAAAGTTGTACTCTCTTAATAAAATATTGCTAGAGCTTTTGCTCAAAAGGATCCTGCCCCGGCTTAATTTAAACTAGTCTGGACATCATTAGAGTCCCCTTATTGGATGTGGAGCAAACTGCGGTACTGATCACTCCACGCAAAAAATTTTAAAAAAAAATAGTCACTTATCAAACTAACTGATTACATATGATTTATTACATTATATGATTAGGATAAAATACAACATAATAATTCTTGTGCTTGGCACAATCAGAACAAGGAAAGGAAACAGATTTAACTTGGAGATCAAACTCCAGCTGAAAATTAATCTGATCTACATTTCCAAGCACAGCTAATGGGCCATGTATGGGAACTATGGCAAAGCAAAACAAAATGGGAAAGTGAAAGAGCCCGCTCTGAACGAAAAAGATCAGCACCTTTGAAATGAACCACAAAACTAGCGAACCTTTTCCTGATATATGAGCCAAACTCATGATGTGCATAACACAAGCTGTACGGCTCAGGAGGATTAATTCTCGCATGTTTTATTCCCATGGCTTCCTCCTCATCTACCTTCTTGTTAAAAGCTTTTTGAAGATATGTCAATGTGGAACCTGAGTCTATCACTATATTACCTTCACTCACCTTTACAGTCTTTTCTCCAATGCAAATACACCTATGGCACATCAAAGCATAACATACAAACAGCTATAATATTCAAAACCGGATCAGCCTAGCCAATTGAACAAATAAATCATTAAACCAGTATGTCTTGACTAGTTTGATGAAATATTTTGTTTATAACTGGGTTTGATCACTATTTAATTACAGTTTTAATCATTAACTCTTGAACAAGTGATTTGATTATATATAGTCTAATAACCAATTAGGTTTTCAGTACTTTGTAAATGCTATTAGTTATAATTGAGACTAGACTTAATAATTTAATATATATTTTTTTAACTTTCAAGAACAATACATAAACACATGTGAAAAAAAACCGTGTTGAATTTTTCTAATAAAATAAGTTATAAAAAAATGTAATGAAATTAGAAATTATTATTTATTTAATAAATATTTATTTATGTATTCTAATTGTATGAGCCATCATTAAGACAATGCCTACTGATGGTTAAAATAACAGTAACTAAGACATGTTTTGACTTTTGGACTAAAATTAATATAAAAAATCTATTAAAAAAAACACACTATTTATGCTTCATAGCATATGTTTGGAATTGATTTTGCATAACCATGTTATCTTTAATTCAAAAATTAATTACTAAAATCATAGTCAAACCGTTATCAACCTAGTCATGAACAAAACTTTTAATTGAACAAGTTAAGACATCAATTTAACGTTACTGACCGGTTATCAACACTATGTGAGTAATTTGTGAAACTTTTGGGGGGGAAAAATGCAACTCATCATTTCTTATACTCCACATATATTAATGAGTAGAACCTATACCGTATAATCTAAGTAGTTGATAGAAAATTAGGAAATATATAGAGATAAGCTAATACCTTCAGATTGAGAATGTAACCAGATGACCCTTCAGGTGCAGCAACCAATGGACTGGTCACGGCCGCATATGATCCTGATATCTTCGCTTCTTTACCCAATTTCAACTTCCCACTGGAATTCGAGAGGAAAGAAACCAAACAGTATGAGAATCTGTGATCTATTTTGGGGGCCCAACTGTGAAACTAAAGACAAAGGCCCATTTCCAAGCCCAACAAGCCCAGCACCTACGCTCAAGAATTCTCCCCGAGTCCTGTGCGCGCATGCAAACAGTGTCTTATGCTCATGAAACCAAGCACTTCGGCCTCCAAGGGCAAAGAAATCTTCTGCTAATTCCCCAGAGCTTCCCGAATCGTCCGCATACACGTAAACATAGAAACACTTCTTTGAATCTCCACAATCAGACCATTCCTCAGGAAGTAACGCTCAGGGTTCCGACCCGCACGACAGCGTTTTGTAGGTGGAAGACCTTTTGGGATCGAAAAAGGTGCGTTTAGCGGGTAACATGTTTTGCGAGGCAAGCACTGGAGCCATACGAGGTCGCTTCCCGCGTCGGCACTAATTAACCCACGTCTCCACCGGAGGAGTGCCGACGGAGATTCGTATGTGGTGGTCGTCGATGGTGCTGCTGGAGATGATGCTAGATGATGGGAAGTGATGGCGATGGAAGCGTTTTGGAGGAGTTGAGAGAGAGAGAGAGAGAGAGAGATGGTGATTGATGAGTTGTTGAGTATTAGGACAACGAGATGCTTCTATCAAGTATTTATAGAGTGATGTTATATAATTGGTTGTTTAAGAGTCATCACGCGCTTAATTACTTGTAAATATCTGGAAATATTTACTTGCATGCAATTGATCTAAGGGAGCTCGAGCACCACTATTTTATACTTCCCCCATCAAAATTATCAGATATTTTTAAAAAAGATTTAACATTTTAAAATATAAGAGTCTGTTTGGTTTTTTTTTTTAAAAACAGTTTTTTGTTTTTAAAAACAACAAATTAAAATTGAAAACTTGTTTGGATAAGTGTTTTGAATTTAATTGTTTCCAAAACTGTTTTATTTTTTGTTTTTA